TCTTTTCTAAACTACAAACCTGGGAAAAACTGGTGCACTAAATGCAAAGTCGAGGCGGACAAAAAATTCAAGGAGCACGGAAAATACATACCGCGGAAATGAAAGACCTGCAACAAGCAGAAGGAAGAACAATTTTTGACTCAAGTTATTTCTGTTAGCTCTCGTTGAACAGGGTAAAACATGAACAAACATATCAATAACGAGGGAAATGTCATTTATAGGATTCCGATGACCCACGAAAAGAACAATGTCATGAAAATATTTTGGCCGCCTTTCAGTTGCGCCATTGCTCGCACATGCGCAGACGTTTGACCGCTGTGTTCTCTGGGAGCAACCATTTCAGGCATGCGCCATAGATGCAGACTGCGCCATGAAACCGGATGGGCGGAATCACCAGATATTCGGTTATTTCAAAATGGTTGCTCCCAGAGCTCTCGTTTTCCGACCGTTGATCAAGGGGAACGAAGACTCTGGGAACGAGATTACATCGGGGACTTGAATTGCGATATAATAAATCCGCTCCACAACAATCAACAGGGGAAATGCCTGTTAGATATCTGTGAGATTTACGATCTAGACAGTCTTATTACAAGTCCAACTCGTATTTTCACGAACAGAGCGTCCTGCCTGGATGTCATCCTTACAAATGTTCCGGCCTTTATTAAAGACTCTGGCGTTATTGAGACAGGCCTGAGTGATCACTGCCTGGTCCACGCTGTATTAAACACAAAACTGAAAAAATTACAAGGCGATCCTTTAAAAACTTCGACCAGAAAGCCCTCCTTTGTGACCTCAACACAGTGCCTTTTTCGGTCGCGTACACTTTTGACGATCCCGACGATGTTTATTGGTGCTGGGAATAACTTTACACTCAAGTACTAGATGACCATGTACCTATTACAATGACGATAAAGCAACAAACAACAGGTTCGAAATTTATTACACCCGATATTCCAAATCAATGAGAGAACGTGATCGACTGAAGAAGAAGTTCAACAAATCGAGAAGTCACGAGGACTGGGAAAAGTACCGTTTGATCAGGAATAAAATTGTCAGCATGAGACGAAAGGTATTGCAAGATTATTTTCAACGACTCTGTGTAGATAAATATGCAGATCAAAGAAAATTCTGGAGCACGATCAAACCTTACATTAATTCGATGGGTTCTTTCGATTCCTTAAATTTGAGAAAAATATGAGACTGCCGGTCATTTAGTGATTTGAAAACCTTGACCGGCTGCCGGTCATTTAGCCACAGCGATCTTTAAAAGCGGGAATCTTTAAAATGGGGAATCTTTAAAAGCGGGAATCTTTAAAATGGGGAATCTTTAAAAGCGGAAATCTTTAAAACGGGTAATCTTTAAAAGCGGGAATCTTTAAAATGGGGAATTTTTAAAAGCGGGAATCTTTAAAATGGAGAATCTTTAAAAGCGGGAATCTTTAAAATGGGGAATCTTTAAANAAAAATATGAGACTGCCGGTCATTTAGTGATTTGAAAACCTTGACCGGCTGCCGGTCATTTAGCCACAGCGAGCTAGACCACGCCAAAAATCGTCTCCTTTCGTTCAAGAGTGAAGGTTTAGGTAGAGCAGTAAGTTTTGTGATTTATGTACACAATGTACATAAAGAATTCCGGGGATTATTGAACATTTTATTTGTAAGAATTGTTACTGAGGTCAACGAGGAACTTTTAGTTTTCGTGCGTACGTTCATGTACGTTCAATGATGAAGACTATTTTTCAGTCATCTCTCAGACATGTTTTTCCGAACACGGAACAACTCACTCAACAAGTGACATCTATAAAACGCGCTCATAACACGCACGCTAGATTGAGGGTAGTCTAGACGATTCTAAGCTCACAAAAGTGAGAAATCCTTACGGAGCAGTACGGATTGTCATAAGTACAGAGTCATATGACTTGAAGTGGTTGCGAAAAACATGAAATGGCCATTTTTAGTGTGATCGAAAATAAAGTGGGCGTTTCACCAAGGTTACTTGAGAACACGTCACTCTTAAACTCCTAAACATATTATGGCAATTTTTGGTGTGATCGAAAATTAAAGTTTCACCAAACAGTCCAGCCTAGGTAACTTGTCAACCCGTCACTCTTAAACTTCAGTTGCTCGTAATAAATAAGACGTTAGTTTATCGATATAAATCTTAACGGGGTCAACAAAATCTGTGTCAAGTTCATGTCTTCTTAATTCTTAGAAGAATAAAAACATTAACAACATTCAGAAATTAGTTCGTCATTTAGGAATGTAAATAGTTGTGCAAGTTGAAACCAGGCACTGCACATGAGGGGTTTTCCTTCGTAAGCGGAAAAAAACATGTCTCTTGTGATGCATAAATATCAAGTTATCTTTTCTAAAAGTTGAAAAAAAAAAAAAACAGAGTAAAGAAATTCGCTTTAAGCATTTTTTTAACGTATGCTAGCGTCGTTGCCATGGTCTTATTCCAGTCCACAGAAAATGCTTAGAAAACACTGGTAAAACACACGGGGCGAAAGTTCATTTAAGGAAATCACGTTTTGGTTGATAGATTCGCGGCTTGCTTATCTCATTTAAGTTAATTGAGTTAAATTTGTTAACAAATGAGTTAATTGAATTAAATTTGTTAACAATTAAACTTGCACGTCTGATGTTGAGTAACTGTCTTCTTGACACTGACAACTGAATGCTTGCTTCGCAAAATTACAACAAAAAAACTGACTGAAGTTTAGGTTACCTGCGTTGCGGTACTTGTGGGCTGCAGCATCAACTTAGGGTTTCTTATAAGACTTGAGGCAAACTTCACTTAGCCTACTGGCTAAATAGCTATGCTTCACTAAATCTCACAAGATCTGCACTTGAAACGGTATTGGTTAATTTAAAGACATACATGTAAACCAATTTGCAAATAACAAAATGTTAGTAGCCTGTTCCTGGCATTCGGTTTGTTCGAAAACAGCGCGAAAAATAGTGAGACAGGCCAGCCAAAGCAGTTTTACTCAGTAGAAATGTAAAAATTTCGAGCGAAATCTAAATTTTTAATAGTCTATGTGTGTGACTATAGCTGGCTACCATTGGTCTCGGGCCCTGACTGACTTAGCAGCAGATGACTCGTCAACGTTTTGTCGACCACTTTGCAAGATTTTATTTAAAAAAATTGAAATGCTCAGGGTGTTTATTACATTACCTTGGCAAGCCTAACGGCCATTATCCAGCTCATCAATGTCTTTTCATCATCTGTACAGAGACATTTTAGCTCCTTGAGTTCTCGTGCTCTGTAAGGCTGACAGAAAAATACAAACATTGAACAATCCATTGATATAACAATTATTGCAATGTTTTAATATTTTGAGTAACCAGTTGAGCTTCATGTTTGTAACTTTTACGAGCCCTGTGTGAAGATTTACAGTTAACGAAATGTGCAGAAAATTGAGAAAGTAATTCACATAGATTTAGTCAGTAAATCTTTTGCCAGGTATCACAAGTGAGCCTACAGACTGCAAACAGAAACGAAATTCTCTGGGGCAGTTCTTGGGGGATTCGGAGGGTTCGGTCAAACTCCCTAAATTAAAATATATGAGGCACTGTAACACGCTGACTTGCCTTAAGAATGCCAGAAATCCCATTTCTGAGGACCTCAATTTTAAACACTTTCCGGGAGAAGATGCCCCCAGACGCCCTTCCACCACCCCCACCCCTACAAGGAACTGCCTCGTATTTCAAACCCCTCTCTAATCCTGTATCTAACCCAAAACTCTACCAGATTTTTTTATTTTGACATAAGACGCCCACACAACCATCACATTTTGCAACATCTTCAGGTTGTGAGATAAAAGTTAAATTTGGCCCAGTTTAATAAGAGAAGGTTAGAACTTGCATTGAATGATACAACGTACGTCCATTAGACAGTGACAATGAGGACTGACCACTGCTGAAAATTGCAAAGTGAATCATTGCATTTTAAGGAAAGCTAATTAAAACAAATAGATCTAAAAAAAAATTCACTCTCACCACGATACAGAAGCAGAATTCTGTTGGTGCTTTGTGGGACTTCTTAGGATTGAGAATGTTGTAAAGGTTTGCTCCATCAAATTGTACGTAACATTCCAAATCTTTAGAAGCCTAAAAAAAAGAAATTACAGACAATTGTGTTTGAAAAGGGTTTACTTAGCTTTTGATGAGACTTTGTAGACAAAATAAATGCCTTGGTGCACAATACTAAAAGTAACATAAACTTGGGAGAAGTCATCAAATACAAAAACACCCTGAAATACAAATATGAACTAAACCTTACACATTTGGTGACTTATACAGGAGGGGAAATAGTTATTACCCTCAGTTTTGAGGGTTTAATAATTAAACAATTATTCCATGAGCATGCATTGGATATGAGATGGTAGGTAGCCAACGAGGGGCTTAGTGCCAAATTGGCTATAATCATCTCATATCCATGGTATAATGGCTCATAACCCATGATGGCTAAGGCAATGAAAACTCTCGAATTGCATTATCCAATGATCCAGTTTTTAATAATATATTACCATTTATTAGATAAGTCTGCATACAAGCCAAGTGGCTCAACTGGCCAGAGCTTATCCCAGTTTCAGTGGCATGTAGCAACCAAGAGCATTTCTACTCCCCCCTGGATGGGATGCTAGTCCATCGCAGGGTTACCCCGCAGCATTAAATTCGCTGGTACCCATTTATACACATTGGTGGAGAGAGGCACTGTGAGAGTAAAGTGTCTTGCCTAAGAACACAAGACAATGTCACCTGCCAGGGCTCAAACCCGGGCCGCTCACTCCAGAGTTGAGAGCATTAACCATGAGGCCATCGTGCCTCCCACTATATTTATTAGATAGTAGCAAAAAAATGGAAGAATTTTAGAGGACTAGTTGGAAGGTAGATTAAAACAGCGACACCTTTGTACCTTTGACTTCCCTTTACTTGAACAATAAAGTCCTGATCCTCTTAAGAAAATGAATTTCTTACTCCACGACTTCTTTCCAAAATCTTTGCAATGTAAGGTCCCTTCTATTTCAGGAACTCTGGTACAGGTGCTAAATAATTTCTGACGGGAAAGAGAAATGAAAATGAATGAGAGCACACTGTATATTTAGCACTCAAACGACATGTTGTTTCAAATTGACTCTCCCTCTTAGCCATTCTATTCTAAAGTTACACACATTATTTTGATCTCTTCTTTAATGGGTCACATATCATTGATTGCTGTTAATTGATCAACCAAACACTAAGCATCTCTGTTTTAACACTGAAGACACTTTTCAGGCCTGGGCTCATTCTCTGAGGGCTCACCATTCAGGCTGTTTCTGGACATAAACTGGATGACCTTTAAACTAAGATTTAATCCACTTTAAGTTGCTGGACTATTAATAGTAGTACTAGATGCCGACAATTCAACCAAGATGTAGTTAGTTCAACTGCTTCATTTATATTATCATATGATTATCTCTGTTACATAACCACTCTGCTACATGTACCTGTTGTAAGATCGTCTTGGCCTTTTGAGCTTTCTCTGTGACTGCCTTGTCAGAATTTTCAGAGTCCAACAAATGGGCTGGAAAATAGTTCTGCAGATAATGAAAGAGAAAATTCATTTTAACTGATAACTGTGCTACGTACATGTATTAAACATTCAGAGACAGAATACTAATTGAAGTTCATTATTAATTTTAATTTTATATAATCAGCCTTCATCCAAACCTTGAATTTGGATTGGACTTATGACATCTACCTTTAAGCACCTTACAAGTGAGTATGCTCAAGGTTTCTCACATGAGAGTGAAATGGTAAGTAAACAAGAAGTTTTCTTGCTATTCATTTTCCCCATGCAGTCACTCTTTCATGCACAACAATCAATAAGGGATTAGCCCTAAGGATGATTTAAATGCTGATGCTAGGAGTTAAAATGAGGTCTGTGGAACTCACCACATTTGTTGCCTTGGGTTTCCACAGACGAGTATACAAGTTCCTAAGCACAATGCCTAATCTAGCAACACATATTTCATTGCCACTATACATGTATGTGATATTCTGTACTTTTTACTGACCATTTAAGATTATATTGATAATGCCTGCATATTATATTGAATTTGATGTCAAGAAGCAGCGGAAGTTACTTACAGATGTATGCAAGAAGAAGTGGTATTTTTTAGAGTCCTTTCTAAATAACAACTTGTTGTTAGAGCCAGGTGCCCATGTTTTCAATATGGCCATGAGATTTTCATGATCCTCCAGATTACGTTCTTGCAAAAAAGAGAATTAAAAGAAACAAATTAAAACAGGAATCTATTCTTGAACAGTACAAAGTAAAACAACCAAAGGTAATTACCTCCAGAACTGAGATAACACCAGCTGTTCCTAGCACATGACTAGTTAATCTACATGTAAAGTGCCAAAACTAGAATTGGGAGCTGTCACTCTCAGGAAATAAAATGCCCAGGGAGGAGAGGGAATGACTCCATAGCACTAACAGGCAACCTTCACCCTTGTCACACTTTTCACATGTACATGGTGCAGTGGATGGCTACGTATTGTTACATATCAGTACAGGCGTCTGTAGTGATACTTCTAGTGAACAATATCAGTTGCCTTTAAGAAGGGTTTTCCAGAAATTCTCCAGAGCAACCCTATTACTTTTACATAGGATTTCCCTGTAGTTCAATAATACCTACCAAGCCCTAAGTCTGTCAGATATTCTGTCAACACCCAGTGGGCATCGGCTTCAACCTTGTCTAACAGTGCTAACTTGAGGCAAGCTTCCCTGGCCTTCATGTTGGATGAAATTGTCAATCCAATGGGTTTTTTGTCTTCATTGAAAACTGTCACTGTTACTTCCTGTCATCAAGTGAAAAAACATACATTGTGTAGTTAGCTATGTGATGAACAAACCAAAACAAGGACAGTACTCAGGAAGCAACCAAGAACCAATAAGAGATGGAAAACTTCATTCTGTTAACTCTTTCAGTTCCATGGTCAAACCATTAACTAAAAAATAAATTCTCCTTATGGGGTGGGGAGGGGGGACTCCCACATAAAAAACATGCAGCTAAAGACAGGAATTGCACCTTATTAAAGAGCTAACCATTTCCAAGTCAGCGCTAACTTAAGCTAACCAAAACACTACTCAGGCTAACTGGAGTGCTGTTCAAGCTAACCAAAGTGGTATGTAGGCTAACTGGAGTGCTGTTTAGGCTAACCAAAGTGATATTCAGGCTAACTGGAGAACATTTTAGTGTGGTGCAATTCCTGTATTTAGCTGCAATTCATAAAAAGGATGCGGGTACTTGTCGTACCTTTCAGGGGTTGAAAAGGCAGTTTTGATACCTATTACCCTCGAAAGATCCTCAGTGGGATCTTTTGCTGTACCTTTTTGAGCATTGAGCCAAAAAAATATGACAAGAAATTATGTGTTGTTTTAGAATTGGTACCTCAAGCAAAAAAAATTTCAAGCCTCGCCCACAAAGAAGGCTCTTGGCACCTCTTAGGGGTTCTTTTCAAAATTTCTGCTGAGTATCCCAATATGCCCTTTTTATATGACAGTCCTTCCCTCCTCCCCCCTCCCCCGGGTGCTTCAATCTGTTAAGTCTTCCAGTTCCATGATCATTTTCTGGGAAATATTAAATGACTAATTCTCCTTACTAACTTTTGATGTTAGTTTTGGGAATCGAATAGCATATCAGTGATCAATATTTAACAATATTCCTCGCTAAATTATGTTTTTCTTTTATATAACTGTCTTGAATGTAACCAGTACAAGTATGTCCCTGAATTAATATTAAATGTTGATAAATGTCTTGAATTAATGTTAAAATAATTCACCCCAGGGGTGGTGTGCTGCTGGGACACTGAAACCATTACCCTATACTAGACAATGATTTTGCAACTCTATTCTAGAGTAGGCACCAAAACCCCCTACCCTATCCCAGACTAGCTATTTTCAATGCAAAAACTTTATCACAATCGTAGTCTAACATTCACTAACTAAACCAATATCTTACAAAGTCATTTCTATCTTAGAACCCCATATAAAGAACCCCATTTTAGACTTAATTACTTAAAAACTGGCCTCTCTTCTGGTACATTATACCCTATTGTACACCAAAACTGTTTGGTTTCTATAACTCACACAAGGCTAAACTACCTGAAAACCATACCCTTCACAGCAACACATACCCATATACAGTAGCTTATATATCCAGGAGTGCCCCACCTCTGGGGAATTCACCCATTGAGTGAGCTCAATTACCTGTGTAGCATGTTTTCCTTGTTTCGGTGGCTGATTGCTGTTTGGCAAGCCATTTGTCCCGGTACCTGACTTCACATGTCCTTGACTATGCTTCTGAAAACCAAGTTCACTGGGTGCAACATAATGATTAGGCTCTGCTTTGGTGCGGACAGCTGGAGTATGTGAAACATTTTTCTGTGCTGCAGCAGATGCTTCACCAACCTTTTTGAAACTTCCATGTAGATCTACACTAAGGGCAACCTCCTTGAAAGCTCCTTTATGGCCACTCCTGTTTGGTGGAATGGCATAGTCTTGTTCTGCAGTCCTCAAGGAGGCAGCATTCACATTTTGTGATTGTAGGGGGAGAGGGCGAGATGAATTGATTGTTTTAGCATTTGCACCACCCACCGCACCCTCACTAAGAGCATCACTAGGCTTGTGAGTGAAGTAGCCAGGTGTTGATTTCTCAACTGGTGATCTCTGACGAGGAATAAGATACAGATGCTCATCATCCTCGAACTCATCTGTGTCAGCTAGTAGAGTCTCAAGATTTATATCATCTGAAACAATATTTAACAAGAAGATCTTTTAGATCTTATAACCGCACTTTTAAAATTTAATTTAACTGTTTTCTTAGCTCTACAGTCGCAATGCAGTGCACATTCCAAAGCAGTCCTTGACGATTCATTGATTACTGTAGACACCACATCACTTGATCAACACAAACTGTATTATTGCACCACCAGTTGTAGCCGTTGTAAAATCTCCGATGATGTAATAGTCTAAATCTGGAACTTTCTTTGGGATATGTATGGGCATGAAGATACAAACACTATTAACAACAGCTCTCTTTCTTAAAAGTCACGATTAAATTTAATTGTTTTTTTTCCTTGAGTAAAGGGCTAGCAAAGAATTCACACAAGTCACATAATTCAAGAATTACGTTATCCACGGCTATCTTTAGTACGGTGGTTATTTCCCTACCAATGACGTAATCCTTGCATGTTCTGACACGTTTTTTGCTTGGCTTGCAAATATTTAATTTTCCTTCCAATCTCTGAACTTGCTCAACAATAATCACTTCTCTTGTCTAAAAATACGAAAAATACTTGGAAAACTAAAAAGACTCGCTCCTGGCGAAATAAACTTGCAAAGTAAACACGATCTTATTTGTCATGCAGCGAAGGTGAAAGATGCAACATCAGCGCATGCATGGCTGATGTAATACCTTTTTTAGCATATTTATTATTCCTTTCAAATCCAACGCTTCAATAAAGCCAAAAGAAAATATATTTTACACACAATAAAGAAAATAATATCTGTAACACGGTCCGTGAATTAATGTTTCAACAGCTTTTGACAACAAAACATAACAGGTTGCGTGATTCAAAATGTGGCCGAGAAGAAGTTTGGGTCAGGTCACTGGCAAAATGAAAAAAAATTTAAAAAAAATAAAATAAAAATAAACAACATGTAGAACATGAACCGTGCTCGACCCATGGCCGTGCAGTTAAAAAAAATCATGAGTCCAGATAATTTTCTATATTATTCAAGCAACAATTGCAGATCATTATTATATACTTACAATGCTTATTACTTTCCACTCCACTGGAATTGGCCTAAAATAAAAAGTAAAATACGTCAAAATAAGGCAGAGAAGTATGGGTCAGGGTTGCCTGAATTTATTTTGTTCTTTTACACAGTATTTGTATTATACATAGTGGCCATAGCTGCTTGGAACCTTCAACTATATAACATCAAGTAAACTTATTGCAGTTTCTAATAAGTTATCTAGCTGAAGCTTTTGTTTGATTTTTTAAAAGGAAAAGGTTATTTACTGGTAAATACTTTTTTGCAAAGGATTTGTAAAATTGAAATCCTGAACCAATTTCCCAAAACAGTACATGTACAATGTGTAGGTCCAGAAAACACCCATACCTCTCCCATGGAAGGGATTTTTTCCAAGACCCCCTCCCAACCCTCTGGAAATTCCAATTAAGCTTGATACTTTTCTTTCAATGTTTTGGTTTTAGAGAAACCCCCACCCCCCAGGAAATTCCAATCCCTTCTGTGGGTGATTATGGATATTTTCTGGAATGGCTCGATCTTAACAAGTTACACAGATTTTCCACATTTTCTACAAAATTAAGTTTATTTGACCTTAAGGCTTGAGGTCTAGACAATAACTCTAAATGAGGCTCCTCACAGCTCTAGGCAAAAGTATTACTAATCACCTGGTCATCCTGAACTTCTGTGACACAGGAATCTAACTCTCCAATTAGGCTTCCAAGGCTTTCCAAGACATGATTGATATCTGTTGGATCTCTGCTGCTGGAGTTCTCTTGAGCTGATGCCATTGTCAAATGTTCCAGGGTATTTTCAATTGACGAACAAGCATTATATTGGTGAACAATTCTTGAAGAAACACTGGTATGTTTGCTGTAAATTCTCTTTCATTACTCACCGGTGTAATCACATGACCTGTGAAAATATGTGCAAGAAAGAAAACAACAGCATTAAATTTCCTTAGATTCTGTTTGCAGAGAAAACTGCTGTATTTGTTTTTATAGCATCATTGTCAACTCCTTGTCAACATCCGATCCTTGTGGCTTAGTAGAACCTTGGTTCTACAAGATCTTCGCCAGACCCTTAAGTTTGGTTAGATCTTTAATAATCCTGAACATTGTCCTCAAGAGATCAATTGACCTTAAATGCATAAGCTTATAAGCCATTTAATCGAGAGAAGATCTTTTTCAGAGAAGATTGCATCTACTGGCACTCTAGAATATTTTTCTCCATCAACGTTGACTAGTGGCGAACCAAACTCCACGCGAGCTTAATCAAGTACAATCTGTGTATAGTTTTCTTAATTCGTCTCATTAATCAAACTGCTAAAGGCCGAGTAAAAATTAACTGTCAACGGAATGGTTACTTTATAAGTAAATTGGCAGAATACATAACGAATGCATTGAGAAGCTGAGAAGACGACAGAGGCTGGCAGAGTGTTCACCGATCGATGTGGACGAACAGCTGTTTTTCCTAATAAAGCCTACTGACAAATGAAGCTCACACAATTTACCCGAGTCAGTGAACACGACGCAGCAAAACCCCAAATAAATAGTGCTTGCACTCAGTTATATAATCGATATTTTTGCGCATATTCCCCCGTAAAATTACCCGGTATATTTATGATCGATGGTTAATGAAGGAGTTCAGTTAATTATGACTTGCTAACTAAATAGGTTATCTAGCTATAAAAATACTCGATTCTCGATGTCCGCCATCTGCGCAAAGAGACGGCCGAAACAACCGCCATCCAGTTAGTAGCGTTCGGAATTTATAGTACGTTGTAAATAAGAGCTTCTCCGTCACTGCATACCTTAGCCATCCAGTTTATTTCCTACCTTATGGAAGCACACCCTCTCAATTTCAAGCTTTCTTGCTCCTCTTCTGACAGCTGGCCAAATATTTACTTTTCTTTAATGATAAAGCCCGCACTTTTTTATAGTCAGCGGCAATGTTACTAGGCACCAGTCTCCAATATCTCTTTCATTTGTTGCGCCTGGTTGTTTTCATCAAAAACAGTTCGACGCGATGTCAAGCGCGGAAAGAAGATATTTTGAGAACAGATTTGAAGATTACGACGGAAGGACGAGTTTACAAAGCCCTGATGGTAAGGTAAGAGGATGGGTAGTTTATATAATGATTTTATATAACAACTTGAAATAATAAGTGAAGCACACAATAGAAATTGTTATAGCTTGTGTCACGGAATGAGTTGTGGTTTGTGTTTTCTTTTTTTGTTTTTTGTTTTTTGTTTTTTTGCAGCAGGTTGTTGATCCATATTACTCAAGGATAAGAAATGAAGCTTACAAATTGTTAAAACAATGCGAGGAAGGTTTTGAGCACACTAGAGATGAGCGTGATTGTTCTGTGTACACGGGAACTGGAGGTAAGGTTACTCTATTGAATTAGTCTTACTATTTTATTTATAAGTAAGTTGTAGTCCGTAAATAACCTGAACATAATGTTGTCATCTTTCTTTACGATCGGATGTAATAGGTAATTCGTATTTAAGACATGACATGAGACATTCACAAAGAGAAACTGCTTGCAATGCAGCGTCAAGGGTGGTATTACATTTGTTTGCATCTTTTGCTTTACACCACCACCAAGTAGACGAAGTGTATATGTACTTAATATATGCATAGCTAAACTGAATGCAAAGAACCCCAGACTGAGCTGTCTGGGTTCAAAACTTGGCTAGGGTGATGGAGGTTTAGTCTTCCTTCCTTGCAGTTCAACTATAGCTAATTATTTTCATTAAATGTTATTTTAATCCTGTTAGGCATGGCCCTCTTGTACATGCATTTATCAGAAACACTATTTAAGGATGATGAAAACCAAAAGCAGAAATACTTAAAGAATGCTTTGAAAATTCTTGAACACTGTCAACATGTTCTCAGAGGAAAAAGAATGACATTTATTTGTGGAGATCCAGGTGAGACTTTTTCTAAACAAGGTAAATGAGTTTATTTTGACTGTCATTTGCTAAAAACAATCAAGTAAACTAAGTTTATTTCTGGGACTGTATCTGTAGGAGGTAAGGTGGCCAAATAGCTAGCACACTGGATTCCAGATCAAGTAGTCCAGGTTTTAGTGCTGGCCAGGGTCATTACACTGTGTTCCTGGCAAGAAGCTGTCACAGTGCTTTTTTCCACCCAAGTCTATAAATGGGCACTGGCAATTTAATCCCAGATGATAATCCTTTGTTTGTTTTGTTAGAATAGCCTTCCATCTGGAGTAGAGTAGAAAATATACATGAATAATATAATTGTATTCCCAGTAGCTTCATGCTGCAGAAACCAAAGATAAGCTCTGGCAGTGTAAGCACTTAAAGCTTGATGTCACAGAGTACACCTTTCACTCTGATGGTACTGGCTCCTGATGTCAGCCTGGCATTTTAACTCTAGTCTTCTAACATGAAGTGAAATAATTAAGTGTGGTAGTACTCTCCCTGGATAGGATGCACAACATTCTATCAGGTTGCTCAGACAATTCACTTTAAGCCATTTATAAACCTAGGTGGTGATAATGCAGGGAATTTTGAAAGCTAGAGTACACATTATACTTTCACCAAGAACTCAGGAGTTAAGCAGTAAAAAAGTTGGACCGTAGATGTGTTATCTGATTTGCATTTCAGGTGTTCTCTCCATGCTTGCTGTTCTTTATTCCAAACTGGGCCAAGATGATAAGAGTGGAAAATGTCTTTCTAAACTGTTAAGTCTGTCTGATCATGTGTGTGGAGGAGATCCTTCACTGCCTGATGAAGTGCTCTATGGTCGAACTGGTTACTTATTTTCCTTATTGTTTGTGCAACAGCACCTGGGTACTGAGAAGATCAACCATGATATTATTAACCAGGTACATATATTAAAAAATAACCGATTAGAATGTAAAAAATGTTTTAGTATGAGTGATCATAGCTGCAATGTATGAGTATGTACAACATATTATTAATCACTAGTTTATGCCGTTAAATACAATAAAAATTATTTAGTGGAGTTAACAACAGGGATCGCAAATCTTACCTTCGTGGACTGTAGCGCTTAGATATACATATGTACCAGGATTCCATGTGTTCTTGGACCACAGGACGTTATATAGAGCAGTCTTGCATTTGGTCAGCATTTTCCTTTCAAGAACGTTAGCATTTTCTTAAACATGGGGACTCTTCTCAGAGGTTGTTTTCCCTCCCCTGTCCCTCCTTCTCTTTCCACTGTTTTAACAGTGTGACAAGTGCCTGTTTTTCTTCCTTCCACGTGGGGACTTGTGACTGGGTTGCCAGGATCTCTTAGTTATGGGAGCAGTTTCCATCTGGGAGCTGGCTGCCAACACTGGAAGCTTGTGGATGTCTCAGGCACCCAACTTCCACCCTGTGAGGCAGTTAGCAACTTAAATTATGTTTTAATTGGTACATTCACTAGATTACATGTAGAAGGTAGTGAGAGTATTAACTTAAAGGTCTTCACCCACCAAGAGTGAAAACTGTCTTGCCAATTACTACCAAATTCTCTTTACCGGTATTGATGCATTAACAATGTGTGGAAATCTGTGTTAGAGGTTTCAGATGATTGGGGTACAAAGTATTATTTTCTCTCCTCTGAATGTTATTGACCACTAATGTTATCATTCTCACAACAGGTCTGCCAAGCCATTTTAGATTCTGGTGAAAGTCTGTCTATGCATGAGAGAAGCAGATCACCATTGATGTATACATGGCATGACAAGCATTACGTTGGTGCAGCGCATGGTGTTGTTGGAATTATGTTCATGTTGCTTCAGGTTAGCTCAGACAGATTCATTGCATGAGTGATGCAAGTATGTAGCTACAACCTACGGTATTTTCAGCTGGAATTTTCAAACTTCAGCTCTAGATGGTAACATATTACACACTCAGACACTCGACATGTATAGTGCCTACAGAACACGTTCCAAGTCAGATGGATAAAGGGTATGATAGCAGTGACAAAGCTCACAGGGGGAAAGGGGAAGGTTGAAACACTCTATTGACATCTTGGTCGACAGTCAGTCAAGAGTCAACTAATTTTCGATCGATGCATGTGAGTTGGTTGACACTCGGCAGACTATTGACCAACTGTTGATCTAGTGTCGATCGAATGTCAATCAAGATGTCAATCAAGTGTCAATCAAGTATTATTTGGGGTGTTGACTGAGTGTCAACTGCCAGTCCGGATGCCTCTAGTACACATGATCCAAAACAACCCTCTGTGGCCAGGGGTATGGATATTTTCTGAAACAGAACAATATCAGGATTATCACATCTAAAACAGATGTTTGTTTCTTTATGTATTCCTAGACACTGTCAACCCAATCAGTGCAGTCTAACTTGAGGAGCATAGAGAATTGTGTTGAGTTTCTTGTGTCAAAGCAGTTTCCATCCGGTAACTTTCCCTCATCGCTTGAAAATGAAACAGACAAGCTCTATCATTGGTGCCATGGAGCTCCTGGAACAGTTCATCTTATGGTCAAAGCATATCAGGTGGAGAAAGTTTTAATTGTAAATGACAGTGAACTAAAAATATGCAGGTTAGATTATTTGTGCCTTGTGCCCTAAATGATTTCCTTGGCATGTCTTAGAAATATACATGTGAGCACTAGCATCTATGTATGGCATGTGCACACTTATAAAGCCTGATGCAGACTTCACATGATACCTTGTTGTAAGGTTTTTGTGTGAGTTCCGATTGTTTTCAGGCACATTGTTATGAATTGTCCTGTTTGTGATACCACTCTAAGGGCCTATTTACAAGGAGGAAGGGTTACCCTAGCAAGTGGATTAACCCTAGCTGGAGGGCAAAAGATATCCCGAGTTTACAAGTGAAATTTCACAGGTAGGATAACCCTACAACCCAGGACAACTTAATATGAGGTTACACTCAAAGGGTCTGGAAATAAGTAGAAAGTTAACCTGGGTAGGCGGGTTAACCCTACCTGGAGTGTTTACGAGGGAAAAAGTTAACCTGCCTGCCAGGGTAACCGCAGCACGCAGATAGGGTAACCCGCTGACCCAGGTAACCCTAGCTGCCTTGTAAACACGACGAAGAAAAAAAGAGGAAATGTGTGAGTGTTAGGGTAACCTGCTTGCTAGGGTAACCCTCTCTCCTTGTAAACAGACCCTAACTTTACTGTTTTTGTTAATTCTTAATGGTTATTAGGTCTTTGGCAAAGAAAAGTATTTGAGTGCAGCTCTCAAATGTGGAGAGGCAGTTTGGGAACGTGGTATTTTAAAGAAAGGTTATGGCATATGCCATGGTGTTGCAGGGAATGCATATACATTCCTCTGTTTGTTCAAGCAGACAGGCGATGCAAAGTGGCTTCATCGAGCCATGAAGGTCAGTTTCCTGCATTACATGTACATCACACTGACAACGGCTTCAAGTTGATAAATTACAAAATTTTCAGCAAAAGCCACATCAGCCTTAGGTGGTTTTTGTGCAGGTCCTCTATACCAGTCGAATTTGGATTTGGTTGTGATGGTTTTTGTGGAGGGAGGGATATTGGAGAACACGGAGAGAAAAGCCCTCAGATCAAGGCCAGAACCAACAACAAACTCGACCCACAAATGGCACCTGGCCGGAATTGAACCTGGGCCATTGGTGAGCTGGGTGTGCTTACACCACTGCACCATCCCTGCTCCCTGATCCACCGATCTCAAACATCCGAAAATATCTTATTATTATATCCTTATATTGAATCAGGTCTGGCCATCATTTTTCTAGCAAATCAAAAAATATTCCAGGATGTTGAATAAAGGGTAAAGTGTGCACAGAGGAAAATCAACCTACATGTAACATCTAACGTTCAAATATTTTAACCACCTCGAGACAAGTGCGCATCACTTGACGCTTTCCTAGGAAGACAGCAAATCATTGCAATTTGCGGCTAATTATGTTTTCTTTAATTTATTTGTAACTGTAGTTTGCAGAGTGGTGTTTTGATTATGGCAAGCATGGTTGCCAGACCCCAGACCGTCCTTTCTCTTTATTTGAGGGTAAGTGACGAAAAGCTATTTCTATTATTTTTAATGCGTGAGGTAAATAAAATGTAGACATTGCTCTCATTTTAGGTGTATCCATATAATCATAGGCCTGCAATACATACAGAGAGCCATGTAGCTGCAAACCTCTGGGCGTATTACTGTTGCAGGCACACAATACTTGGACTTAACTCTATAAAATTATGTTTATTTCTGTTGTTTGTTCTTCCTTTTTTCAGGAATGGCTGGTACAGTTTACTTCTTAGCTGATATATTGCAACCTAAATCATCAAAATTTCCTGCATTTGAGATCTAGCTGCTTTATTCCCAGCTGCCTAGAAGCCGTTTTAAACAAGCAGGGACGAGGAAAGTTCAATCCTGCTCTTATCTACATTTAGCAACATCAGAATGGCCCAAGCAGGCCTGTCATTGAAAGGATAAATCGATAGGATTGTCAGGTGTCCTGGCAGAAAGATATTAAGCAAGTTGAACTTAAAAGTGGACGATCAGTGGTAACTGACTGTTTCTATCAAATCTTATGTAAATATTTCTCAATGAAAAGTTCACAAAAGCCACCATTTAGATTTAGTGACTTGAGTTCAAGTAAAATCTTACACATCTGTCATGTTAATGATTGGAAAAAAAGGAGAAAAAAAGGTGAAAAAAAAGGAGATCGTGTTGAGAATGATTAGCTGGTACCAAGGCCTGGAGGAAACATAGAAACCATTGCTATGGTTAAGATACTCTCTCCCCCACCCATCCCACCCCAGTTTTAGAAGATCAGACAAAGCCTCATCTGAGTGCTACATTAACTCACAAATAACTAACCCTCTACAGACTTGCTCTGGGGAAATTTGTTTTAATTTTCTGGGATAAATTTAAATATTTTTACATAAATTAAAAGTGTATGCTAAATATTGTTTCATATTAAATAGTTTTTACGGGAAGTATTTTTTGTCCATTGACACCAATTTTTTCAGCTAGGGAAACAATCCGTGACCACAAGGTTTCTACCTCACTCAGTTCTGTCTCAGATGCTTCCAATGAAACACTAGTCGAGTAGCTGGATACGGCAGGCAGAGCTGTGTCCATGAAGTCACTTCCTGTTTCTACTCTGTCCTCAACTGTCTCATATTCTACACCTAAATCTCCAACACCTTCAGGTCTACCTTGTGTGTGAAGCCTTTCAAATGCTGAAGATAATTCATTTTCCTCTCCATTGTTCGTGCTGATAGCCACCTTGTGATGTTTCAATGCTTCAGTTCTCAGTTCCAATGAATGTTGAGCCTGATTCATTTTGTTTTCCAGAGCATCTTGCATATGGTTTGTATCAAGAGAATGCTTCTCCATTTGGCCAACCAATGTAAAAAGCTCAATGATTTCAGCAGTTATATGTGGACTTATATCGTGGGCTGATTTTGAACTTACAAATGACATCAGGGCACTGTGGGAGTGAGAACGGAACAAAAAAGTTATAATATTACCGTATTTTATTTTACTTACCTATAAGCCGAGCTTGGCTATAAGCTGAGACCCTAAACTTGTGAGACATGATAGTGGATGAAAGCTTTCGGAAAAAAAAACAGAAAAATATTGGCTATAAGCCGAGACCAAGGTTTCTTAACAAAAAGTTACTTGAGCATTCATTTCAAGAAACCTTCCCTCTCAGGAAACAAGTTGAAAGTCATTGTGTAGAATAAAATCACACCTTTTAGGATCAAATGAAAAGTGTTTTATTAGTTGTAAATGATTAGCCAATTGGTGCAAAACAATGAGAAATCTTGTACTTCGATGGGTGCATGAAGCATGGCGAGAGATCCCAATGGAGATGGTTGCTAAGTCCTTAAAGACCTGTAGAATCTCCAACTCTTTGGATGGAACTGAGGACAACGAGCTACACACTGAAGAGACACAGGAAATTGACGACGATGAGGAAGACAACAAGTTCGAGACGGAGGGTGAAGGCGAGAGCGATGGCGAGTAAACTGTTTATCAGTTGAAAGCTCTTCAAAAAACAGCTCCTTCAGGAGCCACCAAATCTATAAAAGTTCATTGACCAACAATTTCATCTTGTCTTTATAATATTATGATTTACTGTGTTTCACTGATGTTGACTTGGCTACAAGCTGATCACAGAATTTGTGTGACATTTCCATAAGTTCTCAACACCTGAGAGAGGAAAAAAATCAATCAAACTTGCCGCTATAAGCCGAACCCCTTTGTTGGGAATGTTTTTGGTCGATACAAGTCCAAATTTCTGAAAAAATAGTTCTGCTTATAGGTAAATAAATATGGTATAGTACAATGTAGTGGGTGCGGACAATCCTGTTCTCACTCCTTGAATTATGGTTAATTTACCTCAAGACACCTCTTAATTTTCCCCATTCCCTTGACAAGTTGGCACCATAAATAAATCCCTGGTTGAAACCTTGTTGTAAGTTCGCATCTTTTCCCGACTCCAGACCTTCGCGATACCCAGCCTGAAAGAAAGGAACATGATTGTCATAAAAAATATGTTATGTCACTGATCTGGTTTCAAATAAAATAACTGCACAACTTGATTACCTGAGAAAATACCATGAAAACAACTTCAAAACACTAACTGAAAACTGCATGTACAATGGTGGGAAGAATGGGCGGATCCCGGTGGGATGGGGTACTTCCAAAAAAATTGAGTGGGGGTGTGCGGCCTGCTTCCCAAAACCCTTACCCTATTCCAAAATCTGTGATATTCCCTACCCTATTTATGACCTCACCAAAAATTCAAAACCCTATTAATGACCTGGCCCTTAAATTAAATCAAAACCCTGTTTCAGACCTGTATTATAATTAGCTCCCTAGTTCAGACCAATGTTAAATTACTGTAAACATAATTTGTGATGGGCTTTAGTGAATTTCTTTTCGATAATGATGAAAGAGTGCCTTCTTAAAAACATACCTATATCAATGATAGAGAGCAAAAACCATACCCTATTAATGAACAAAATGACCAAAACCAGCTAAAATTGATATCCTATTTATGCCCAAAATGGCTGAAAAACCATACCCTTTGGAGCTGCACATACCTATATAGCCCATATNGTGAATTTGTTGCATGGACCTAGAAAGAAATTAGATTTTAGAATGTCTTCCATTTGCAGAATGTAACACTTGCTGCCTCGGAGAACATTGAGGGTCTCAGAGAACAAAATTCAGTGTTTTATATGGCCAATGGGATAGTTCCTACCCTGTAAACTTGTACTTTTTTCCCTTTTTGATCCTTAAACTGGCTGGCTTAGTGAAGAAACCACTAGAAATGAAAGGCAAAAATGCGAATATTTAATTCCCAAATACAAATCTGTATGCCAGAGATGTGGTGACCTTATGATCAGCACTTGAGATAATTATTCCAGCTCAAGCAACCTGGGTTTGAGCGGTGGCCAGCTGTGTTATTCCTTTGCACTTTTGGGGCAACAATTTACTTTCATAGTGCCCCTCCCCAACTAGGATGATAATTTGGTTCTAGCCGGTGACTGTTAGGGAAATGTTCCTGGTCACATCGTGCTATAGAAATGCCGAAAAACTCGGGCAGCCTGAGCTACCTGGCCTGAGTACCAAACATCTTTTCTTGACTGAACCTTTTTATATTACAACCTCATCATTTAGATAGTAATGCCCTCAAAATTTAAGTCACCAAGCAGACAGGTTTTGGGGCTTAACATGTGTGTGTGTGTGAGAGAGAGAGGGGTGTACACAAATGAATGGGGGGGGGGGGGTATGAATAAGGGAGCTTGCTAGCAGGCTATGAAAATTTGGATTTTCAAGTTAAAGCAGAGAGGTGACGAATGTAAATTTCGACAACTGGAAATTTCTGATGGAGTATCAAATTCTTAAAACGGACGTATAAAGAAATTTACTAAGATAAGAAAGGAGAACCTGGTTTTCGAGCTACAAGTTCACAAAGACCAAGCAAGGAACGAAAATCAATCATGGTAGAGATATAATGTGAACAAGACACAAGTTTATAAGCAGAACTGAATGAAATATCTAATTAATAACATTTATTTTACCGTTTCGTGAGATCGTTTCATCTTTCTATAGTCCATATCCGCCTCATTTTCTTCACCACCATGTATTTCTTCTTGTCCTTCCGCCATATTGTGACATTAGTATCCTTAACTAATTAGCCTAATTTATGCCGGAGCACATGCGCAAAACTATGTGCGCTAAATGCCTCTGCAATCCAAAATGGCGCCGGTGCCAGAGCGAAACCCCATTTGGGAAATCCACTTTCATCTTGTTTCCTGCTCCATGAAAATGCGCTCCTGATAAAAAATCTTTGTCCCAATTTATTGATCTTTTCTTCCACGGGTGTAGTTCTCAATGAAGTGAAAAATGTAGTGACATTTCAGCCGATATTTACGATCAAGATGCCCAGTTCCCGAAATGAAAGGGAATCGAGCCCTTCTACTCGAAATCATAGCAAAAGCAAAAAGTCATCCCATAAACCAAAGAAACATAAGAAACGTCCCAAACCTGAGGCTTCGGCTGAAAAGCTAAAGGGACAATATGAAGACATTTCCTCAGCTTCCGAAGAAACCGAACAGTTGCCTGTTCAAAAGTACAGCTCGATCTCACGGAGCCCCTCGCCCGTAGCGTCGAAAAAATCAAAGGCTAATGTAAAGAGAAAGAAGTCAAAAAAGGATAATTCAATGCAAGGAGCAAGCAAAAAGAGCAGGAAGCGAGGCAAGTCGCCCATGTACCATCCACATCCTGTTGAGGGAACTGTCTCGCCAGTTTCGAGATCGAAGTGGAAAGATTTGACGCCGTCCCCAAAGCCGCCACCGAGCAGGGATACATACCAGCAATACTCGCGTTCTGTGTCGAAGAAGCGAGGCTCTGAGTCTCCACGTGTTCCAATCGCCTACAGACCTAAGTCACCTAGTATGAGTCCAAGGAGGTCACCTTACAGAGGAAGGTCTCCTTTTAAAAGCAGTTCTCCCATAATGAAAGCCTGGTCAAGGTCTCCTTTTAATCACAGGTCAAGATCACCTTCTCCTCCTCCTAAATCAAGAGGACGGTCACCCATAAGAACTTATAGGTCTCAGGAGAGATCTCCTGCTTACCGATCACCGGTGGGACGCTTCTCACCCTATGGTCGTAATAGGCCTTTTACATCCTACAGTGGCAGGAGACGGTCTCCCTCACCTTATGGGCATCACTCGCCATCACCATCATTTAGGACTGGAGTGAGGAATAGGAAAAACCAAGGGAGTAGGCCACGTAGTAGGTCTCCGTCACCGCCTCAGTCAGCTAGGACAAACAATCGAAAGCGCTCACCTTCAAAGCGGTCCCCACATAGGGGAACACCTCGAAGTCCAACTGTGCATCAATCAGGTTACAAATCTGGAAGCAAGAACACATCCTGGCAAAGGTTGAGTTCTTCAAGAAATGACACAACCAGGCAAACAGAAACCAAGTCTACAAACAGAGACTCTAAAGAGAAGCCACCGATTACTGAGGAAACTTTGTCCAAGGTTAAAAACAGGATTGATACCGTGGATGGTGTTAAAAAGAATTTAATGAAGGATGCTATCAGCAAACCAGCAAAACCAAATTTAGAACCTTCTACAAAAGATTCTGCAGCCAATGGACCTGTAAAGGGAGATTTAAGTGCATCTGAAGTTAAAAAAGAACCTGAAGAGACAAAAAAATTAATAAGTGAATCAACACCAGCTCTTCCTCTTCCTCCCTTAAATGAATCAGTGCCACCACCATTGCCAAGTGATGAGCCTCCTCCACTCCCTCCAGATGAGGAGAAACCTCCACCGCCGCCTGCACCAACGTTACCACCATTACCTTTACCACCAGAACTTCCTGGCACCCCAGGCGAATCTCCTACTTCCTACTCACCACGCTCTCCAGGGGGGAAACCTCCTGAATCTCCCAAGTCCAACCAACAGTCCCTTCCACCATTAAGACCTCTAAAGGATGCAAGTGGTTCGGGTGTGCCATCGATATCTGGGCCTAGTAGTCAGAGTGGAACACCACTGTCGACTCCAGACACTACACCCAAGACACCAGCAGAAAGTGAGTGGGGAGAGAGATGCGTGGACATGTTCCAAATTATTGACCAAGTGGGGGAAGGAACTTATGGACAAGTGTACAAAGCTAAGGACAAGATAACAGGTATGAAACATGTCCATTGATGGAATAACATTAACCTGTGTAAAATGTGCCAGTCATTTAATATGAGACTTTTTCAATAAATTTTTGCTTCAAACAGTCCAGGATTTTTTCATCATATTCTCCTTGCCTTGACAGGGGAGTTGGTTGCCCTGAAAAAGGTACGAACTGACAATGAGAAGGAAGGCTTTCCTATTACAGCAGTCAGAGAAATCAAAATTCTACGGCAGCTGAATCATCCCAACATTGTTAACTTAAAAGAGATTGTGACGGACAAACCTAATGCCCTGGATTTCAGAAAGGATAAAGGTCAGATAACTTACTATAGAGTGCAATTCTTGTCTTTGTGTCTTTTAACAGATTTGTGCACATACTTGTTATGTGTGTGTGATAGTGTAATGTAATGTACCTGCATTTGAGACATTAGCCATTTCTTTGAATTGCAGCGAAACAGGTACTTTTCTAGTAGCAAGAACAAAAATGTTAATATAATCTGAGGAAGTGTGCAGTAAGTCTACACAGTTTACAGTACCAATCTACAGAAAATAAACACTTTTCTGATCAGCAGAAATATAGACTGTGCGGCATTGTCCCTATCCACTGGCTTTTACTTGATACTCTTCTAAAGTGCTAAAAAGAATCCTGTTTTGGTACTAGCAAAGAGCAACAAGTCACAATCTAGTGTGACTTTGACATGTGTCATGGGAGACAAATAAGAAACATAAATCTCACTGGGCAGCAAAACAATGTTTGTTTTTGTTTTATTTCAGGAGGGTTTTATCTTGTGTTTGAGTACTTGGACCATGATCTTATGGGTGTGCTCGAATCTGGTTTGGTTCATTTTACTGAAGATCATGTCAAGTCTTTCACAAAACAACTCTTAGAAGGTCTCAGCTACTGCCATCGCAAGAACTTCCTTCATAGGGATATAAAGTGCTCCAATATTTTACTAAGTAACAAGTATGTATGTTGTGCACTGTTTACTATCATTACAGGGACTCCTATGACAATTACTGACTTAAGAAGGTCAATGTTTCATAAGTAATGATAACAGCAAATTTTAATTGTGCTTTTTCTTAAATTATTTCTTTGGAATGAATGATATATAAAAGGGTGATTACTGGTTTTCTGTGCATTTCCGAAAATATGTACAGAGGGGCTTTACATGTACAATGGCAAAGATAATTAAAAAGCGAAATATAAAATCAAAATAAATGATTAAAAAGGGTATGTGGACTAAGCATATCCCCACTGTTTAAGATAGAGTGTATTCTTAATTGAATGTTAATTGTTATTTTTCTTTTTCTAGGGGAGAAATAAAACTGGCCGATTTTGGATTGGCAAGATTGTATGAAGCAGATGAAAGGTATGGTCATTTTACCTACCTTGCTATGAATGTTAGTTTGAAACATATTAACATTGTGAATACCTGTAACATTTAACTTTTTCTTTAATCCAGTTTTTTAGTCAAAATGGATGTTGGCTGAGATATTATTTTAACGACATAAAATGTCACTGCTCAAAATAGACTTGCAAGACTCCAACAACAAACTTGCTAGTATATAATAGTATTGTATTAAAACAGGTGACTCTGCTAAACCGAAAGGAGACTGAAAAGAGTTACAGCTTGCTTAATTTAGCCCTCTTCTTAATGGCAGAGGGGATTTTTTAGCCAGAAAATATATCACTTTGCTTTTTCTTTTGTGTCACTTTGTAATGGTTGATTTTAGGAGACCGTACACAAATAAAGTCATCACACTTTGGTACAGACCACCAGAACTGTTACTAGGAGAAGAACGCTATGGCCCTGGTATAGACATCTGGAGTGTGGGGTATGTGAAAATGTGTTTTTTTTGTAAAATGATTTTTATATCTTGGGCACTCTGATTACTTAATCTTGCCTACATAGCGAAATTATATTACTTGATATTTCATTTTAGTTTTGTCATCTAGTGCAAGAAGTAGAAAATTATATCAAAGCACTGCATTTATGCACTTGTACATCTTTGAATATTTGATGTGCAATGAGTAGTTTGTCAACTTAAATATTAGTGAAGTGACTTGTCTGATAAAAATGATTTACAACAGTCTTTAGTCATCTTCAGAACCTGGAGACAATCTTCTTCATTTTGCAACCATTATTTAGATGTATAACTACTAGTTGACCCACTCTCCCTTGTGTTTGATTTTCTGCCTGTTTTCAAGGCACACTGATTTTGTTTCTTTTGTAGGTGTATACTTGGAGAGTTATTCACCAAGAAACCAATATTTCCAGCACTGCAGGAAATAGGACAGCTAGAACTCATCAGGTGAGGAGGACAAACGTGTTTGCAAATAGACCAACTTGTAAGGCCAAAATTGGTAGACATTTCTGTATAAATTTTGGATATTGATCCTCATTAGCAGATAAATCTACGCTTGAGATCTAGTGACTGGGGGCATTTATGGTATCAATAATATTAATTATAATTAATACCTGAGGTACTACACGCTCTTTTATTTTGGTAGGTGGTGTTTTAGAGGAGAGTGTGTTGACACAGTTGTGTCGTTTTAGATTTGCACATATTTGTGAGAATTATATTTTTTGAAATTTTAAAGCAATTGAGTACTTTTTCCCTGTTTACATAGCCTCATCTAAACACTTGGGGTGTTGGGAGAATTCTTGAAAGTTATGCAAACCCTCAACTACATCTCAGGTTTGCATATCTGTCTGAAATTCTCAGAGCCCCCCTCGTAAACATGGAAGTGAATGTAAACATTGAAAAAGTACTCTATTGCTTAATTATAGCCCATAATGATGGTGTTTGTTCACTTCCATAGTCGTATCTGTGGCACTCCTATGCCTGCAGTTTGGCCAGATGTCATCCACTTGCCTCACTTTCACACAATCAAGCCCAAGAAACAGTACAGGAGGAGACTTAAAGATGAATTTTACTTGTAAGTCCACCCATACAATAAAAAGATCATACAGCTCCAGTGTGTGATGTGTTATACTTTAGAGGTCTGGCCATTCCATTTTTGGTCTTCAGACAAAATAATTTCTGTTACATTTTTTACTCTTAGGGTTAATAATTACTAACAGTACATTTAATAATAATGAGTAATTGTCTAGAAAATATGCTCTGTCGTATATCGTGACAACATAAATGCTGATCATTTAAGGAATACCGAAAACAAATTAGTTCTTCCACAACCTCGAACTGATTTTAAGAGAAGTTTTTCGTACAGCGAAGCTCAGTTGTGGAACGACTTACCTATAGACCTAAGACAAGCATCTTCACTGACCGTTTTCAAATCTATATAAAGTCACCACAGTTTGAAGTAATATCTTAATTTTAAGTACATTTTTAGACACAGCCTCCATGAAAAGCATTTTTTTTAAAATTTTTATTGTAGTTAGGCAGATAGGTAGATAGTCCAGTAACTTTGTTGACTGATGGAAAAACCCTGTATAAATAAAGTTATCTTATCTTATCTTATCTTCTCACTAGAAACCAATTCAGGGCTAGTATCGCTAGTAGGAATACGTCTTTTCAGATTATACCACATATCTGAAACATTCATTTTGCAAATGAAAAAATTGTCCATGACAACATATTTCTTGCCATGCAATATTTGGCTTCATGAAATTTAGGTTTTGTTTGTTTTCCTTCAGTATGCCAGCTGACGCGCTGGACCTGTTTGATCGTATGCTGACACTAGATCCTTCAAAGAGAATCACAGCTGAAGAGTCCCTACAACATCCATTTCTGAAGGACATTGTTTGTGAGAACATCAGTCCTCCAAGGTAAACACTTTATCAGGGTTCTCATTAAGAGCTTTCCACTGGCTAAAAAACTGGCTACTTCGATTTCTGAGCTGCCTACTTTTCATGAAATAATGCATGTGAAAGTTGTGAAGAGTAATTTAGGGAAAACACAGGTTTTCTGGAACGTGACTGAACTTTGACTGTCTTTTTCTGGAGATTGTCAAGGCTGTAGCTAGAGAGGGGGCATGGGGTCGGGATGTGGTGTACGTTTTCTATTAATTTATGCTAGTGCTGTAGGATAACACTGCACTCTTCAAAATGTGAAGTTGTGTTGTTCCACCGGGGATCCCTCACTGGTCCACTTCCTTTGATCACCATTGGAAATGTCAACGTTGCATGGGTCTGTCACACAAGTCTGCTGGGCAATACTATCAACAGAAAACTTATTTGGGTGAATCATCTTAAGGAATTAAGGAAAAACTTTGTCAAGAAATTTAACTTACTGAAAAAGTGCTCTTTTCTCAAGAGAAAATCACTTCTTGACCTATACTTAAAGGTGATTCTCCCTGACATATGGCATCACTACCTGGGGGATCTGTAACAACCTGGGTTATATTAAATCCCTGCAAGCACTGCACTACCGTGCTGGAAGGCTATTTTTTAATTTGCCACAAGACACACCATCAGTACAAGTTACGGAACTCACACAATGGGACTCGATTCATGACGTGTATAAACAAAGTCTTGTCAAACTAATCTGTAACATAGCTAGCGATAATATGCCTGCAATGATTTCAGATTTAGTTGTATGGCATAATAGTGCATATAACTTAAGTGGACATAATAAGGCCGTCGTTCCACGATTTTCCACTTGTTTCATGAAAAATTCTGTTTGTTACAGAGGAGCTGTGCTGTGGAACTGTGTTTCAGAATATTTTAATGATTCTTGTAATTTTAAACAATTTTATCGAAAATCAGTAGGTAATTAGATAATTAATTAGATACACAACCCCTCAAGCACATAGTGCTTAAACGATAATCGTGTTTTAATACTTTACTTTATAAAAATTGAAAAAAGAAGTCTTTGTAAACTCTTAATACTCTTGACATTTTCACCTCTTCCAAAATTGATTTTTTTTTTGAGGAAATATCTCCAGGTAAATCACAGGCAGCCCAGACATTGAATATGATTAATATGTGACATTATGTTGTTGGCGATTGCGTTACAATTAAATTAACCGTTTATAAGACAATGTATCAGAATGCTTCAAAAATTACTTTAAATGCTACATGTAGAAAATAATTGGAATAAAATGGCTCACCTTGTGTTTGCATTGCATTATTTTGATGTCTCTGGGTTCCTGGAGGTGGTTTAGAGCCATTTTGGTGAGTTTTACTTTCTGGCGGTTTGGTTCCCCTAAAGAGAAACAAAAGGCGGGTGACCCACTGGCCTGACAGTGCGCACTCAAAGCTCGGTAAATTCCACAGAAATGGTCTAATCTCATCAAAATTGCCTCATGGCAGCCATCTATAACTCTTCTTCCCATTCGCTTTCTCCCAAGGTTCCAAAGTTTATCTTAACCACCCAAGAATCGCTGGTTTTCCAGCTCTTGTTTTCCATTTTTGCTCCATCTTGATCAGTAACTGATTATCTTGGCCACAGGGTTTGAATTTCTAGCTTAGAGACTGCGCCATTGTGACAAAGTCGCCTCTAACCGTTGAGAGGCACGGGGCAGTTTTTGATCATGCAAATTGCACCGTGCCGCAGTCCCTGGGGATATTTCACCGGAAGTGGTGCAAAATTAATCCGGCTGACTGAGAGCATGTGTGGTGGTGACGCAATAATATATTTATCGTCCATCAGTCACTCGATATTTCTGGGGTTTCTGTCGTGCGCTTGTAAGCACTATTAGTCAGTTGGTCAGTTACTCGTTGCCATCTCTCGCTGCAGTTAACATTGCTTTTAGGCGCTAAATTCACCTGAACATTGTTCGCTCCTTGTATTTTTGTAGTTAACAATGCTTTTAGGCACTAAATTCAGTTGAACATTGCTTAGTAGGAGTTAGTTGGACATGCAAATTGCTTTCAGCTGAACGTTGTCTAAAATGCTGTCGAAAGTGGCAAGACACGATCTTGAAAGAACTGTCAGCTGCTAGCTGCGCCGAGTTTAACGCGCTCTCAGTCAGCCGGGTTAATTTTGTGCCGTTTCCGGTGAAATATCCCCAGGGACCACAGCACGGTGCAATTTGTATGATCAAGAAATGCCCTGTGCCTCTCGACAGTTAGAGGTGACTTTGTCATGATGGCGTGGTCGCTAAGCTAGAAATTCAAATCCTGTGGCCAAGATAATCGGTTACGGATCGAGATGGAGCAAAAATGGAAAACAAGAGCTGGAAAACCAGCAATTCTTGGGCGGTTAAGATAAACTTTGGAACCTTGGGAGAAAGCGAATGGGAAGAAGAGTTATTGATGGCTGCCATGAGGCAATTTTGACGAGATCAGACCATTTATGTGGAATTTACTGAGCTTTGAGTGCGGGCCATCGGGCCAGTGGGTCACCCGCCTTTTGTTTCTCTTTAGGGAACCAAACCGCCAGAAAGTAAAACTCACCAAAATGGCTCTAAACCACCTCCAGGAACCCAGAGACATCAAAATAACTCAATGCAAACACAAGGTAAGCCATTTTATTCCAATTATTTTCCACACGTAGCATTTAGAGTAATTTTCAAAGCATTCTCATACATTGTCTTATAAAGGGCTAAAATTGTAACGCAATCGCTAACAGCATAATGTCACATATTAATCGTATTCAAAATCTGGGCCGTCTGTGGGTAAATGTGTGAAATAGCATTTCAGAACCTCTCAGTTTCAAAACATTTCTGGGGGAAACATACCCCAGACCTCCCTAGAGGCTTGTGCCTTCGACATTTGAAATGGTGTCAGACGTCTACTTTATGAAACTAGCCCTCTACTCCCTGAATCAATGAGAACCCTGCATTATTTCTTACCAAACAACCAAGGCAGCTTTACGAGGAACATTTCTTGGTTTTAGACCACATTAGAGTTGCTGAGCGTTGGTGTGAAAACAACTAAGGCATTCTGATGACAACATACAGCTACAAATTACGGACTTCTAATTTCTAATTTTCTATTCTGTTGAGGTTACAGAGTCGAACAATCATTTTGTAAGCAGAATGTTTCAGCTGTTGTGACTGTTAATCTGTTGCCTATTTTATGAAACTCTGTAGAGAATTGGAGAGCTCTCCAAATGGCTTGAGTGCTTTTTCTGAACATTTTCATGGGTTTATCATAGGCTTTCACATCTATAACGATGATTGTCTCCTGTAGTATCCCAAATTAGCATTTCTTGCATAGACAAATATTAATTTAATGATAATTTATTGTATCAATGGTTCTTTTAGCTTACCAACTTGGCAGGACTGTCATGAGATGTGGTGCAAGAAACGCAGGCGCAAGACAGAAGGGAAAGTTGCAGAGGATGGCAGTTCAGCTAAACAAACAAGAAGAGAATCTGTTGCTGACAGTTTAGAAGCTTCCAACAAGGTCCCTGTTCTACCTGCAACAGAAGAGCAGACAGAGAGCTCATTGGCACCTCTTGAATCCTCAACTTTTCTACGTAGACAGAGCATTGAGACCATTGAGATGGAAACAGAAGACATGGCAGCCAGCGCTTATGCTTCAAAAGATGGACATTCCTTCTATGATAGAGAACAATCAACCCAGTATTCATATACTGAACAACACCCTAAGGCTGCATACTTAGAAGATTCGTACTATCAGCGTGACTACAGAGGAGATTATCCAGATGGTTCTAGCAACAACTCCTACAAGACATCTCTGGGTGATTATTCACATCCATATTCCAAGGAGGATGCTGATAATGAAAGAAGAGATAGGTACCCACAATCTAGTATGCAATATGAACAGTTGTCTCCACCTACAGATCAAGGGAAGCCATCATATCCTGACCGGTATAGACATTACAGTTTCTCAGATGGAGGTGGTAACAAAGAATACGATGAGATGTCATCACGATACAGAGAAGAATCAGCGTCATACCTTTATAGGGAGCGTTATCCTGAGGATTTTTCTCGTAAGCGTGAAGTTTTCGAATACAATGATTCGCAATATGATCGCTATCCCGTTGCTCCTGAGAACAGAGGACAGAGTCCACGTCGCAGTGTGGAATCTTACCCTGGGTGGTGACATCAAGGGACTTGCCAGTGTTAGTTAACAGAAGGAGTTCATTTTATGCTGGTTAGCCAGATTCATGTCACTGCAGTAACACAAGATAGCAACAAATTTATTTCAGACAAAAGACATGTACATAATTTAATTTAAGTTTTAAGAAACGAGTAGCAACAATCTTGCCACAAGAAAAGTTTCTTTTCCTACCAATTTGTAGGTAAACTTGTTTATCAAAAGCTATCACTGTAAAATGTAGCAATCATAATACACTGGTTGATCTGAAAACATAGTTTACTCTTACAAGACTTCACAAGTCTGTTCAAAGTAACATAATGTTAGTAAGCTTCTTTGCTTGAATTTCAGCCATCTCCTCTGATCATATTCTTGAAGTATGCAACCAGAGGAGAAAACTGAATTTGTGGGAAGAGCTGTTGGTTTTGTGATTGTTGCAGTTGTCTGCCACTTGCAAAGTATTATTACTGTCTCTGTCCTTAAAGATTTATTTTCTAAACATCCTTTAAACACCATTTACAGAAAACAAAATGAGACATGAAAACATGTAGCAAAATACATGTTACAGCTTATTCAGGCAAACTTGCTATTTGTAACATAATGTTCTAGAATAAATTTTGTATAGAAATAAACTTTTTGATGGTACGAAAGAAGTGACAGCTTTTTCATTCCTTTGCCTGGAGCATGCGCATTTGTCAGCACTTCTGGACACGGCAGACCCTCTGTTTTCAATTCATCAAGTGAGAAGCATAAAAAAAGCCTTTAGTAAAGTTCTTGTCTCTGCAAGACAGTTTGCAGCTCTCTAAAAATATCCACACCCTTCTCATGGAAAGTCACTGGAAATATCAAGGGAGCTGGAGGTTGGAGGTTTCAGATGTCAAAAATTCAGTACAGATATCATGTTGCAGAAACTTAGTGTTTTTATTGATTGCACGTGGAAAAATTAATTAATGACCATATCCCGATGTTATTACTTGCTTTGCCAACAAATCATTAAATCAGGAGTTTGTTTACAACTTCCCGATTTAACGATATGATTTTGACCTTGCCTTATCATGAAATATGTTTTTCCAGAAAATATCCATACCCCTCCCACAGAAGGTTTTTTGGTTAGAACCCTCCCAC